ATTCCTTTGGGGATTCACAGTAGCTCCCTCTACCTGCTACTGAGTCTGGTACTGATGATTCAGCTCCTTGGCAGAAATAGAAAAAGTCCATCCATGTCTCTGTGTTTCTACTGGGAATAGAACACACAGAATTTTAAGTCCAGAAACAATACCAAGAATGAAAATGGACAAGTGAAGCAAAGTGGTGGTTTCATCTCTTTCCTTCCCTCTCTTCAGTGATCTCTCAACTATAAGAAACTGAAGTCTAATCAGGAAGCCTAATTGTGAGCCTGTCCCTATCCCTGGAGGGAGGCTTGCCAATGTTTGGAAGGACCAGTAGGAGGAAAGGAGAGCAGGGAGCACATGGGTGGCAAATCTGGCATGACTTTAACAATCCTGAAGAGAGAATTTCTGGTGGTAGAGAAATAACATAATAGTCATGGATTCCCGGGTATGCCTCCAATTCCCTCTCTCTGTTGGGCCCAACATGGACAGATCCTACTCTCTGGGAGCCTGTGAGAACAGCAAGCACAGACCAGAGCTGCTTTATTTTTCCACATAGACCTTTAAAAGAGATTAGATTTATTATGTCTTTAAAGTGGCCCCGGCTAATGGCTCGGCATGGATAATGCCCTGGTTTAATTGTTTACTGTGCAAGCTGCTTGTTTCTACAGTGGAATCCCCTGTAGCTACCTTAGCTGCAGTCTTTCATAGGCTACTAGAATCAATTCGGTCCTCATTCACATCTCTGCTGGAAGCATTTGCTGTGCCATGGAGTTGCTCAGATCCCAGGGACATTTCCTGGTGAGAATACTCTAGGATTCGTGTGTGTGTGTGTGTGTGTGTGTGTGTGTGTGTGTGTAGACATGTATGTTATCATGAAAAGATGGGATAGAGATCTGTTGTCAGTCACACTCTGGAGTCACTCTTGAGATTCTTTTCAAAGTAAGAGGCAGAGATAGTTTATCAGGGTATCCAGAAAGTTCACCCAAGACTCTCACCTGTCATGGAAGTGAAAGTATTCACTAATAGGAAAGACAACCTCAACCAAGGAAAGTGACCTTTATATTTCTAAGTACAAACATCCTCGATGATCCTAATGTTTAGTATGACATTTCTTTCCAAGGTCACGATATTTTGTCAAATCTCCCTAAAGCTTTTGATCTCCAGTATATTTGGTTCTTATTCTCCATTAAGGTGTATGAAATAACCTAACCTTCATGACAAAAAAAAAAATAAAGTTTGTCAAGACATTGTTTTAGAGTGGAACTCATTTCAGCCTGGTTGAAGGTTCACGTTGTCTCTATACCACACAGAACAGAAGCTGTGGGCCAAGTCAAATCCTCCCTGACATAACTCACACATGATGCTAGGTGACTATTTCCAAGTTGTCTAGCTGTAAAGTCGTCTAACTGTAAAGTCATGTTTCATTGAGGAGCATGTCTATTATTTTATTTTATCCTTGTATCCACATCACATATATATTGAGCAGGGTTTCATGCAGAAAAAAAATCTAGAAAACCAACTTTGTTAAGCAAAAGTCACAGTGTATTTTTAAGTACAAATGGTGAACGCATATCTCAGAGCACTGATCACTACCAATATGAAAACAAAGCCTGATTAGTCTATCATATGGGTTGACCCCTTGAGTCTTCTGACACAAAAACTTACAGGGGCCAGCCACTGAGCATGACTAGTAATTTTGCCTCGTAGGTGAATTTACATGATTTTTGTTGCCAAAGAGTTCTACTTATTAAAATATCTTTTATTTGTGCTTTAGTTCATTCTCATTCTCTCTCTCTCTCTCTCTCTCTCTCTCTCTCTCTCTCTCTCTCTCATCTATTGTCTATCTCTCTTTCCAGGGTCTGGCGATGTAGTTCTAGCTATCCTGGAACTTACCAGGCTGGCCTTGAACTCACAGAGATTTGCCTGCTTCTGCCTCCTGAAAGTACTTGGATTAAATGTGTGTGCCACCATGCCAGTCACTGCTGTCATTCTTGTCTCCCAGATTTTTTTGAGTATAATATCCTAACTATAGTAACAGTAGTAACATTCCTAATGCTGATACCTTTTAATACTGTTCCCTCATGTTGTGATGACCCCGCCATAAAATTATTTTCATTGCTACTTCATAACTGTAATTTTGCTACTGTTGTAAATTGCAATATAAAGATCTGTGTTTTTGATTGTCTTAGCTGACCCTGGTGAAAGGATAGTTTGACTCCTCTCCCAGAAGGGTCATGAACCACTGATCTAGTCACTATTTTGGAGGAAAAAATACGTTAAATTTGACATAGAAATTCTGTTTATTACTGAGATATTTATTCCTGAGCTAATTTCTCACTCAGATCTTGATGTGAGGACAGTTGCTCACAACAACTGTCTCTAAGGTAGAGATTAACTTCACACTCCCCAGGCCAATTGCCTCATGGGCCAACAAAAGATAATATTAGTGCTTCTGTGTTTAGTGATCTCAGCTTATAACATTTTCCTGATGACATTGGTATATCAATGTTTAAATATGGGTTTATAGTTTATAAAGAAATTAATACAACATGCACAGTTTTTGATTGGTAGATGATACAACTATTATCTTACTGATAGGACTGTGCAAGAGGTCGTGTTCCAGCTCTGCACAGCAGCTTACTATAGGCCCCCTGGTTGATGGAGAATGGAGAACAAAATAATATCAGAGACGGAGTCCTTTGGTACTTTGTTCATTTTATCTATATATGAACGTTTCACCAAGCCACTACAGACCCACTCCTCACAAGGGAGAATGCCCTAGCATGACTTCTGAGAAACGAAATACTGAACCTTATTCTTGGGCTGACTCCAACCCAGGCTTTGCATTCAAAGTGTGGCATTAGATTTCTTGACTGCAAGGTCATGGCCAACAGGCTAAGATTCTGTTAGGTGGTTCATCCTGCCAAGAAAACTGATAATGATAAGGTGCTGTCTTCTAGCATTCTATGTTGATTGTAGGGATGGGGTATGCATTCTACATTGTTGGGTACAATTACCTCCCAGAATACAATGCATCTTCTTTCAGACATCCCAGGGAGATAATTTGGATGTAATGAAGATCTATAGTAATCAGATAATTACTATCGATTGCTCTTTAGATGTCTTGATGAGGTAATTAGGGCATACTGGAAAGAAGCTAGAACTGATTGATTGGCATGACTGTAATCTCAAAGATTTCTAATTATGTTTCTTTTCTTCTAATGGCTTATAAACAAACATCATTTTAGCTTTAGAATTTGTCAGGTGCCAGGTTCACTGGGAACATCAGCTTTCTCTATTATGCTAACTAGACACTGAACATGATCAACATAAGCTCATTATGTGTTCCTGCTGAAGCAGAAGCAACTGCAATTAACCCTCACTTCTCTTCCCCATTCCACAGATTGTCAAAGGATTCTTGTCAGAGAATGGGATGTGCAGTGTCAGGGAAGGTATACTGGGAGAGCAGCTATGTGTAATTGTGGGCTGACTAGGTCCAGAGGACTTACTGGGGTTCTGGGGGGTCTGTTATAGTAACCACAGCAGACTCAGGACACAGGATCATGGCTTTTGTGTCAGGGCGGCTAGCTGACTGCTCAGCTCCTGTCAAAAGTAATAGCTACTCATCTCCAGCCATGGAAAAGAGTAGGTCAATACTGTCAGACAGCTGGACCACACACTTCTCTGTGCCAGAGGGGTCTTGCCTCATGGCTTCCATTAGACACTAATTAGAGAACTCCCAATCTGAGACCATGTTCCCCATTATCCTGGTATTTCCTATGCCTCAAAGGACCTTTCAGGAGTTGGTGATGCAAGCTAAGAACTCAGGAAGCCACAGTTTCATTGAATTATTTGCATCTTACCCGGGACTTTGGTGAGTTCAGTAGTGATGAGATGGCCAGAGAGTGGTTCAGCATTCATTTGACAAAGGCAAAGCGCATGCATCTCTGGGGATCTAGCAACATGGATCCAACTTGTGCACCGTGGTTCTCTGTATTTCAAACCTTGGTTGTTCTCCAGTACTTGTAGATGGCATTATGAATACCTGTATTCTTGAAATCCCTCTTATTTACTGAAATATCACAAAAGACAGCCACGTAGATGGCATTATGAATAACTGTATTCTTGAAATCCCTCTTATTTGCTGAAATATCACAAAAGACAGCCATAATTTGCCTTATATTATGTACAAATATCATTATTTTCCTGTATCCCCACTTTTAAAAGGTCATAAATTACACGATCTTCTAATCATCAAAACTCTGGTAGCAAGAGAGGAGTGAAGTACAAGAGTGGTTCACTTTGCGCATTGATATTGATAACTTATGGTGCACTGCTGTTTGGATAATTTCAGCTGTAGTTGGAAATGCTTCATTAAGTCCCATTAAGTAGCTTGAAGGATGGAAGTGGATATAAATTTTGTCTTCCTCTTACATCTTTATACTGTAGAATGGAGTAGGTTTCTTCACCTAAAATTTTGAGAGATGAGGTATTCTTTTTTAAACTTTTAAACTTTAATCTGGGTAACTGTTTAGCTCAGAATCTGTTGCTTAAAATCTTTACTATCTGTATCCAAATGTTTTTCTGTAACAGAAGACGTAGATAACATATGTACTGTATATATACATATACATATACATGTGTGTGCCCTTTCTCTCAGATTTTAATGTAAAGCTCTCTTACTTGCACTTTTATCATTATTTTTTTGTATAACATGTCTTCCCATCTTCAATATCGGTCTCATTCCTGCCAACAGCAAACAAACAAACAAAACCTGCTTAGTTTTCTCCCATACAGTGTGATGCAAATTCCACAGGCTACTTATCAGTGGGGCCTGTTCCCATGCAAGATGACCATAGCTTCATAGTGAGAGTCTGCAGGTGATTGTATTCATGGCCTTGCCTAAGTGACAATACACTATCGGAAAGACATGGTGGAGGAGCATATTTACCTGCTGAGAGGTCTGATGGAAATTGGGCAGATCAACCGATAACATTCCTTGGTTTGTGCTGTAGGAAGTTCTACAGCTGGAGAGGCAGATGGGAGGACAGCTCCTAGAAGAACCCAAGGCTCTACATTTTAAAGGCAGCATCCACAACCTGCGCCTGTCGATTCATGACATCGCCCATTCCCTATGGAAGAGCAAGTTGCTGGCTAAGTATCAGGTGAGGCTACCAAGAGGCACTAGCTGCACGGATACAGCTTCAAGGCAGATGACTCAGATGTATAGTCTTAGGATATCTCCCTTCTTAGAATTACTCCCATGTCAACACTTATTTCTCCAAAACCGTACGTTGCCAGCATTCTTGAAAAATGCCTAATAAGCACATTTAAAGGAATGGGTTCTAAAGTATTCCTCTTAAAATAATTTTACTGTTATTTTAGTTTTAGTAAATTTATGTTCAATGTAAACATTCACTATATTAATAGGAACAGCCTCAAATGCATCCATAGGAGGAAATGGGACACTGATACCCTATCTGACGACCATTGGCTTCCTTCCACCTTGCTAGCTAGCAGAACACCTGCCCCCTGCAGGAGCCAGAGATTGGGGGGCGGTACTTCAGTGGAATGTCACACTGCCACTCACTGGTTCTGGATTTGCACCAGAACCTCAGTCTACACACTGGCTTCTTTTATGAGTCTTCTCCTTGGCTTAATTGTTACAAAAGTATAGTAGGATTGGCTCTGTAAAGTAGTTCAGATGATTACAAGTGAGTATCTAATATTGGCTTGGTGCTTTTTAGGCCAAGGACTTCTCTGTGGTGTCCGATTTCCAACTGGAGCGAGCCTTAGCTGCCCCTGCCCTGGGCAAAGGGAGGCTAGAGGCATGAAAAGATGTGGAATCAGCCGTGCACCCTGTGGCTAGCTTTGCTGTGCTCCAAAATGTCACACCAGGGATTCCTTTTAATGAGAGATGATGGAGTGTGAAGGATTTATTTTAGGAACTTTCTAAGCTTTTTTAAAATTTAGGAACTTTCTAGGCTTTTTAAAACTCTCATCTACAATGGCTGTTTTTCTAAATGAGAGGCAGGCAGCCTGGTTAGTTGTTGATTCTAGAGCTTGCTTACATGGTTTCCAGGCTCAACACATCCACTTCCTCACTGTTCCACACTGACTGTTACTTAACCTCTCAGTCCTTGTGTTTTCTTATGTGAACAGAGGTGAGGCCATATTTGTAAGTAATGAGATAGGATGGGAGAAGAAACGGTGTTTGATGGAAACTTCCAGCATTTCTTATTTGTGGTTACCATCCCCACATCTTCCAGGAAATTCCATTTTACCACATCTGGAGTGGCTCACAAAGAAACCTCCACTGCACCTTCACCCTGGAAAGACTCAGCCTGAACACAGTGGAGCTGGTTTGCAAACTCTGTGTGAGGCAGGTGGAAGGAGAAGGGCAGATCTTCCAGCTCAACTGCACTGTGTCAGAGGTAAGCCATTCTTGGAATCATGGGCAGGGCTTGAGGGAAAAGAATGCCAGGGGCTTGGGGAGACTGGCAAATGCTTTCTCTGTGGAAACGACGTGGAGAACTTCCCTAGTGTTTAATGCAACTGGGAGAGGAATTGCTTTCCAAAACAAAGTTTTCTTTACTACCCATTTAAGAGTCATCGTATAACTTACGATGCCTGAGAATAAGGCATGACAGCAAATTCCTGTAATCCCCAGCACTCCTGAGATTTGCTTCAAATTCAAAGCCAGCTTGGCCTAAATAGTGGGTTGCAAGCCCACCATGGTCACATAGTGAGACCACCTTTTAAAACACTAAGAGACAAACACGATGAGGTCTGAACTTCAAAGGCAAGGTTTTAGTGGCATATGCAGGGCACTTTCTGCCAGCTTCTGTCAACCGCTCCTCCTTTCTCTCATAGAGACTTCTGATTTTGTCCTAGCCCTGTCCTACTGGGTGGGGTGAAGGAAAAGAGCAGCGTATGCTCCCCCAATTTTCTCCACACGGAAAGGAGAGAGCTTTTGGTCTCTTTTCTTTTTCTCACCTCAGTCTCCAAATATCAGAGAAGTCCTTTCTCTCAGGGTGGAGAAGATACTCCAGGAATAGAAGACAATCCATACCCTTCCTTGCTGTCACTTTTGCCTTTCTCTGCTATGATTTTTCACACACTCAGCTGGGCATTTTTATACATTCATATTCCAGCCGTAACAATAGTTGCTGTTATTTCAAAACTCCCTGTAAGGAAAGAGGAGGTACCCCTGACCTTCTCTGTGCCCTTGGATGCAAAGACTATGGTTTGAAAAGCGGTAAGCCTTCATGTTGGAGGAACAAAGGATGAAGAATAAACCAAATGGTCAGAAAGCTGCCCCTCGTGGCCCCTTGGAGCTCAGCTCCATGCTGCTGCCTGAGCCACAAAGCCCAGGATAACTACAGCCAACAGTGTATGATTTAAAATACTTTTTTGTCTTGTGCATAGTGATGACTGCAATGTCAGTCTGTTCAGCCTGTCTTGCGCCACATGTCCTATTTAAAGATGATCTTCCTTAGCAAATGAGGCGGGGGTGGTGGGGGGAGGCCTGTGAGCTCACTGAAGCTCCAATCTTCTTTCCCACAGCCTGTGAGGTGCAGTCATCCTCTGCTCCTGTAGTTTCATGAGACTTTTGACTCATAAACAACTTTAGTCACAGACCTCAGTGACATTCATAAGGAATGATCTCTGTGTCAGGGTGCCATGGCAACCGCCGGGCCTTTGGATGCACAGCCCTATCTCCCAGGCACACAGCACCACCCCTGCTGGCTTCGGAGGGTGTTTTCACTTTCCTGGCCCAGCAGGTCTGCAAAGTTCAATAACCACCCAGCTCCAGTGACAACAAAGACGGCGGAATTTTGGAGGGGGTTGAGGAGTCTGGCCCTTTGATGCCTGCTTTCTGTTCAGCATGAACATTTGCTGTGCACTGAAAAGGTGGATCAGATGCAGCCACAAAGAAACGAGAGCTGCTCTGAGTTCTCCCCCACCAAGCTGCTAGCTCCTCACACACAGAAAGGGCAGTTTTGCAAAGTGTGATCACAACTTAAGGACTTCTTTCTGGTGCCAACACGGAGAAAAGATTATTGGTTTTGCAACTTGGCAGACGGCTCAGAGGCCAGCCCTGTAGTCACGCGCCAGGCATTTGCCCATGTGTGACAGACAAGCAAAGTTACTGAGGATGGAAGAAGTGACCAGACTGGGGAAGATGTTGGGGATTAAGGGGCACTCTACTGCTTGTCCTTCTGGGTCACTGAGTTCCACCGTTGTGGTTTGCAGTTGAATGCAGGTTGGGTTTTTGGAGGAGGAAGTAGGGATCTGGTACTGATGTTTGAGCAATATGAGGCTCTATATGGATGAACAAATTGCTCTGGGGAGTCCAGTGACCCAAGTGCTCATCAGAAACTGAGATGACGTCACAAGCTGTAACACATGGAGAAAAGGCTTCATCTGTGGTTACTTTCCTCTGAGCCTTGCTCCTTCTATTATAAGGCAAGGGGAAAGGTTTTAAGGAGTCCTATCTCCAACATCATAACCCCCAGAGTGATCTGTCTTCTTAGGAATATGCTACCTTTCCCCACTAGCCACCTACTAATGAGGTCATTCACCAGCAGTCATTTATAAAACCACATAATTTGGGGTCTCTCGAGCCTGGGGCAGAACCTTTTGCCCACCACAGAGACCCGGCTGTACGGAGAACACACCATGGTTTTCTCAGGAGCTTCCTATGTCCCCTTTACAGATGATCCTCCAAGGCCTCTAGCTGCGAGAGGAGGTTTAAGAAGGAAAATGCCTAAAAACCTAAAATACTGGTGTGAGTGAATGTCAAGATGAAAATAATTATGAAAGATATTTCACTTTTGTTTCTTTAGACATGGATGGGGTGACAATATTGCCCAAAGTGAAAATATGGTACAGAGAAGGAAGAAACTCCTAGAATTTTGGTGTGCTTTGATGGCATTTTAGCTGTACACAAAGGCCCATCAGATTAAATTCCCAAGTAGACAGTCCAGTAGGAAGGTACCCAAATATCTTCTCCTTTATCATTTCCTGATGCTGAACCAGGCACACCATTGCTCATTAGTGTTGTTGAGAAAATTCAATATGTGGATTTTAAGAAGTGTCATAAACATAACTTGCTACATGACACATGATCATATCCACCATTCTTGTTATTGGAATAGCTGACTTTAGTAGGCATTGCCCCTCTCTAATCTGTGGGATACACTGGCAGCGTAGGTATCAGATGCCCTTTTCTCAAAATACAAGATGCAACTCAGATTGCAGAGATCGTTCAGTGGCTAAGAGCATTTGCTGCTCTTGCCAAAGATCTGTGTGCAAGTCCAGTACTCATAATGCAGTTCAGGACTATCTGTAACTCCAGTTTCAGGAAATCTAATGTTCTTTTTTATACTCTTGGACCTCTGTGTACAAAATGGTGCACACACATACATGTAGGCAAAACACCCATATACATTAAATAGAAATAAAAAATAAATTCTAAAATGTAAAGGAGTTTCATGGCTGCCATGGTCTAGATGAAGAAAACCACCATCCACCTGAGGCTGTAACAGTATATGCAGTCCTGTAGTAGAGCACATGTGTGATGCATGGAATGTGTGTGATTATCCGGAACAGATGTTTTGTTAATGCTGAAAAATCGTATGTTTAACTAAGAGAATTATAACATCAAAAGCAGATGGTACCAATATCATAAAAGATTATTGTAATAAACATTCTATGAGAGTAAGCTCTACTTTTACCTGTAAAGTAAAGTAAAAGCTAATAACAACTAAAATTACTATGTGAAATTTAGATATAAATGTATGCATGTATTTTTGATTCCCTTAAAGGTATGATATAAGTATACTATCAGTATAAGAGTAGTACAAAGCATGTTTCATAGACACAGAAAGCCATAGGCAGAGTAGCCAGGTTAGGTGTTAGGGCAATGTCTACATAAAATAGTGCTGGCCCTTTACTCCACCCAATGAGCTGAGATCATTGCTTGATCATGGTCCTGAGATCCATGCCTACTTTAGATCATGGCCTTTCTTGTCTTTAAGGTCTACCAATGGGAAGTATCAAGACCTGATTCGTAGTTAGTTGGGAAGAAGAACAACACTACAATCTACAGGTGGAGCTCAGGAATGGGTTTCATTGTCCCCCTACCATGGAAAAAGCATTCCATTCCACTTCAGCAAACAGTAATCGAGTAACTTCAATGTACAAGACACAGTGTGAGTTCATCACCATAGGGGAACCTGTTTACAAAACAACAAATAAAGTATTCTGCCTGCCGAAAGATTTAAGAGACCAAAGGAAGTCATAGTCCATCCAGTCTGGGATGGGATCAGATTGTGGAGTGAGGGAAGCAGAATTGTAGCAGTTCACTGCTCTAAGAAGAATTAGGGTTCAGTTTCCACCTTCTCCTCCAGGAGTCCATGTAGCCTTAGGCAGGGGGTGTACATATCCTTCACTGCTTAATCAGAACTAGTGAGTAAACTTTCAAAGAAATGTTAAAGGAAGGCTGCTAGTTATTTCCCAGCTGCTCGGCAGCTCAGACCCGAAATAATCACACAGAAACTGTATTAATTAAATCACTGTTTGGCCCATTATCTCTAGCTTCTTATTGACTAACTCTTACATCTTAATTTAACCCATCTGCTTTAATCTGTGCATCACCACGAGGTCGTGGCCAACCAGCCAAGTTTCAGCACGTCTGTCTCCAGCCGCAGCTCCATGGCTTCTGACTCTGCCCTTTTTTCCTCCCAGCATTCACTGTAGTTTTCCCTGACTAGTTCTGTTCCCCTATAGCTATTCTCTAGGCCCAATCCAATGATAGTCACAGCATACAGAGGGGAATCCCATATATATATATATATATATATATATATATACTAATGCCAATACTTCTCAAACTATTCCACAGTTTTCAATAGAGGGTACTTTTGTAAGCTGATTCTATGGCACCAGCATTGCCATGTAAGACAATTAAATATACACATAACTATGGACCACTACCTATGATAAAATTGACACAAAAATTCTCAACAAAATGCTGATCAAGAGGATTTATCTCAGAGATGAAAGGATGACTTAGTACTTGCAAACTATATTTCATCTATCAAATAAATAGAATGAAGGATGTAAATTGTGCAACCATCTCAGATATAGGAAAGGCATAACACAATTCAACAACTCTACATATTAAAAAAAGAACCTTGAACAAGTTATATATGGAAGGAGCATACCTGAGCATAAACGATTATGTACGGTAAACCCATAATTGTATCATACTGATTAGGGAAAAGCTGAAGGCATTTCCTCTAATACCGGACAAATATATGGATAGCTACTTTTACATTACTTACCTAGCATAATACAAGAAGTTTGTCCAGAGTAATTTGGCAAGAGGAAAGGAAGAAAAGGCAAACATATAGGAAAGGAAAATTTAAAGTCTCCCTTATACTTGTGGTACAATTTTATCCACAGAAAAAACAGACTCCAGGGAGTATTATAATTGATAATTTCAGTAGTCAGATACAAAACTTACAAAAATCAATTGCTTATCAATGATGATGATGAGCTTCAGAGAGAAATCATGACTGCATTTGGTTTACAGTAGCCACAGAAGGAAAAAAATACATTGGGATAAACTTAATGGAGGCAGTAAAACCTCCAACAATAAAAAAAGCACAAGGCATTAATGAAAGATAATGAACAACACACACACATACAAGTGTAACACGAAGGCCGGCTTGTTGGGGTTTCTGTCCCGCCTAGTACCCCAACAGCCGGCAAGCAACAAAGAAAATCACGCATAAGACTCCATAAGATTATAAACTGATTGGCCCACTAGGTCAGGCTACTCATTAGTTCTTACAACTTTTGTTACCCCATTATCCTTATCTACGTTAGCCCATGGCTCCGTACCTTTCTCAGCTGGGCAAGTTACATGCTGTCTCTTAGGTGGTCTGCGCAGGAGTGGTTGAGGAACGTTTCTCCTCCCTAGCCTTATCCTATTCTCATTACTCTGCCTCTACTTCCTGTCTGGTTGACCCGCCTATACTTCCTGCCTGGCCAATCAGCGTTTTATTAAAATACATGATTGACAGAATACAGATAATTCTCCCACACCATACAAGATGAATAAAACTCCCGTGTCCATGTATCAGAAAAATTAATGTTCTTAAAATGACAAAACTACCCAGAGTAATCTTCAGGTTCAAGACAACCCTAAAATTCATAAGGATTAAAAAATAAATATTTAACGTACCTAAAGCAGTGCTGAGTAAAGAGAGCAAAACTGGAGGCATCACAACCCCTGATTTTAACATATACTGTGAAGCCATAGAAGATCAAAGAATCCAATATCAGCATACAAACAGACACATAAACCAGTCAAACACATTGCATCTCAGAAATACGTCCATGAATTTACACCCAGATACTTTTCAACAGAGGCACCAAAGACGCACATTGGACGGACAACAACCTTTTCAATAAATGGTGTTGCAAACAAACCAAATTGGGACAAAACCTAAGTGTTTGAAACCTTGAAACTGCTGAGAGAAAACAGCTCAAAATCTTGGTAAAGGTGCTGATTTTTCTGGATAGGAAGCCAAAATTACAGGAAATGGGGCAAAAATTGACATCTAGGATCACCTCCAACTACAAGGCTTTGGCACAGCAAAGGAAATGATCAGCAGATGAAGGGATGGCTGCAGGATGGGAGAAAACACATGCCAGCTTTAATCTGACAGGTCCTTACCCAGAAGATATCAGAAACCAAAGAAATTATTTTAAATTTTAAAAGGAGCAAATTCTGACAAAGACACTTCTGAAGGTCATGAACAGTGAACACACAAGTGGAAAAAGTGCTAGGTTGGCCATCAGGGCATACAACTCAAACCCACTGTGTGACGTCATTCACCCCAGTTAGTAGGGCTATGAGCAGAGTGACAAACAATAAATGCTAATGAGAATGTGAAGAAAAGGGACTCTCACATTGTTGATGGGAATGTCAGTTAGCACAGTCATTAAGAAGGGGCCTGCAAGTACTGTATGATCCAACTGTCCTACTTATAAGTACATATAGCTAGAGGAAATTAAATCAGCATGGCCAATCAAACATGTCTATATACCTTTGTACATTACAGCACAATTCAAAAGAGTTAAGCCCCAGATTCAGCCTAGGCAAGCCTCAGCAAAATAAAGTAAATATGTGATGTATAAAAAAAAAGTATTACTCAGCCATAAAGAATAATGGAATCCTGTATTTGCCATGAAATGACTAGAACTGGACGGAGGTCATTAAGTAAAATAAGCCAAACACAGTAAAGCAAATCTCTGTGGGGTGTGTGTGTGTGTGTGTGTGTGTGTGTGTGTGTGTTTGTGTGTGTGTGTGATCCCCTTTCTCTTTTTCAAACACACAACAACAACAAAATACTGAAGAGAATGTGGAATAATGAGAAGTGGAGATTGGAAAAAGTGGGGTTTGGAAAGTATGATGAGATTTGATTACCTCACCCTTTCTGCTTGTATGAAAGTGGAACACGAAACATATACAGTTAAACATCTCAAAATATTAGACTGGGGATGTGGCTCAATTAATAAAGTGCAAGGATTTGATTTTGACCTCTAGAACTGATTTTAAAAAAAAAAAACAAAAAACCAGACGTGCTACACCATGCATCAACAATGCCAATACTGCGGAGGGGAAAAGTCAGAATTCCCGGGATCCCTTGTGCTAAATAGACAGGCATCTGGACTAATGAAAGACCCTGTCTCAAAACTAAAGACAATACCCAAGGAATGATGCCCAGAGTTGTCTCGTCTCTACATAAAGGCACACACACACCTATGCACCCACAAGGATACATACATATGCATTCACATGGGGGCAAAATTTGAAGATTGGAACTTCATGTGCGATAAAGGACATTAAACACTTCCCTCAGTGAAGGAATGTGGGGAGGGGAATAGGACACACGAGTGAGCACTGTAGGAGAGGACAGCATGACTGGCGTACACGGTGGCAAGCAGGCAAACAGGAGGAAGATAATGTCTGCAACAATGATAAGGAGACTCTTTGGGGACAAGAGTCAGTGCTATATAAGCCAATTGTCCCCATATGCAGACATTTACCTACCTCCCGTGTCACCCAAGGACAATCAGGTACTTGAGGGGCTGGTAGATTTCCCTTCCAGACCTAAAGAGTAGTCATGACTGTAATTTTGCATAAAGTAAGCGGACTTGGACCTGGGTGAGGTCTCTAAACTGAAACAATAATGTGCGACTCCTCTAATTTACCCATGCATACTGCTGTGTCCAATATATGGGTTGCAATGCTTGAATTCTAACATCTCAAACATGAATCCACTAGTAAGCGTTGCTACATGCCCCCAGTGACACTCTGCTTGCCTTTCTGAAGCTCTGTGACCCTGGAAGTTATGAACTCATGCTTCTTGGCAGAGCTCTGTGCCTGCGGGGAAAGAGCTGCAGGTTGTGAGTCTCATCCGAGCTGTCTAATCCTGCTGGATGCTTCTGAGCTTCAGCCCACAGTCTAGCCACGGAGCCAAAGCTAACACAGAGGAGCCAGTGACATCTGTTTGCCAAGCTATGGATTTTGAGCCCTGATATGTTGATCACAGCCAACACTATTGTGTATATTATGTGATTTAAAAAAAAAAAATGTTCCCGAACTCCTCAACAGGCCCTATCCAGAAGAGAACTATAGGAGTTGAAAAATCAGTACTGGCTGCTGATCCCCCCCCAAAAAAAAAAGCAGACCACACTGTTGCCCACACTTAGGAGACTGCCAGCTAAGACTCCACCTGCCCCTCAAAGCCCCAGCACTGACAAGTCTGCAGAGACATCAGAATCAAGGCAGGGTATGGGGGCTCAGACAGCAGTGGCGTTCATCCCTAGGCTGAGCACTTAGCCGGATATCACAGACTTACTGATGGCCAGACCTCTGGGGTTAGTGTATCCTCCAGCAACTAGATGTGCACACCAAGGAGTTACCTGCTCTAAACGGGGAAGGGGAGGAGTAAAAGAGAGGGGGTGGACATTTAAAGCAGAATTAGGAGATTTCCTGCTACAGCTTTAATGGCTCCCAGGCAGCATTTCCCCTTGCTTTCAGACCAGCAGAAATGATCAGAAAATGATTAGAGTTTCTCTTGCCAATGAAATTTAAGATTTTTGCATTTGTGCTGTTTTATGAGCTGAAACTCTTCTAAGAGACAATTTATGGTTTTCGCTACTAAAATTGGATTAAAAAAATAAGCAAGCAAGTTCGGCAATTAGAGGACACCATTAGTGGCTTGCCTGAAAGCAATATTCTGTTTACCATTTTTTTAAAAAAAAAAAGTTTGTCTTAATTTGATATCTCTTAGCCTTGTCCCATTTTATCAAGCAAGAACCGAAGGGAGTCAGCTTCACAGGGCTTGATGGAGTTTTCTGAGTGTTCACCCAGGGATGCCTTTAGGGTTAGATGGTTTCCAGAAGTTCTTCCTCATCTCAGATGTATTTATTCATTTAGAAATAACTTCCCCTTTGAATATTTCCAACATCTAAACCTTCTGGAGCACAGACATCCCCCTTTCTTCTCTCCTGGGAAATCTTATTAGAGGAACTAGCATGGAATCTCACAGAGCTTTCTGTTCTGCCTAGTCCTGACCAATGACCCCTGAACACAACAGGTTATGCAAAACTACCTCCAAATGCCCCTCTACTTCTGTTTCCCAACTGACAATAGTAACCCACTACTTCCAGGCCAGGAAGAAACTGTCCTCCCTGAAGAGAACAGAACTCATTCTCTCTCTCTCTCTCTCTCTCTCTCTCTCTCTCTCTCTCTCTCTCTCTCTCTCTCTTTCATATATATATATATATATATGTATGTGTGTGTGTGTGTGTGTGTGTGTGTGTGTGTGTGTGTGTGTGTCAGTTTACTGAGAGTCAGGCATTATGTTGATTGATTCAACAGGGACTGCATTGTCTTCTGAAAATCAAGTTGTGCTGTTCCTACAGGAACCTACTGGCATCGATTTGCCTCTGCTGGATCCTGCAAGCACCATCACCACTGTCACAGGACCAAGTGCTTTCAGCATCCCTCTCCCTATCCGGCAGAAGCTGTGCAGCAGCCTGGATGCCCCCCAGACAAGAGGCCATGACTGGAGGATGCTGGCCCATAAACTCAACCTGGACAGGTGAGTGTGTCCAGGCTTCTGGACCTGTTGCTTTTATTTAGCAAAGGTCTCCAGTACTGAAAACAGATAGATAGGAGGCAGCATTCTGTTTCTTTTTCTTCCCACTACATATCTGTTTACATTTTCATTCTTAAAACATGCATTAAGTTCCTTTACACCTTGGAACTGTTGGGAAGCACATGGTTCAAGAGACGTTCTGGATTATATAGCATTTATCATAATCTATGTGTCTAGTTCATATGTTAAGTACTCCTACATATCATACCTATTCAATAATTATTGTTCATCGCCAGTTGAACAATTCATAATGTGTGCTGAATAATTTACATGCTCACACAACACTTGTATTAACTTATGAAGAGACCCCAAGAGCATCTACTTTGCTGAATGTAGCTGTCACCTCCGAACAAGAGATGTGGCATGACCTGTCAAAGATCATCAAAGCTTGAGCTGAACGGAAAACATAAGCCTCTTGATTTCCTGTTTAGGACAAAACCCACAGACACATTGTCTCTTAAATTATCTTATTCAGAGTTGAGGTTAACAAAGTTAAACAGTACGTGCCCTGTCTGGGGCTGATCTAATTAAGTATAGAGCAATCATTTAGCGAGGTTCACTACAATCCACAGTAGGACTGAAATACTTACTTCAAGTAAGACAGGTTTGGCCCAGAAGCAGAGGAGAAAACCACACTGTAAACAGCCCTGTAAATCACATCCTTTAGCATATTTTCCCATTTCGAATTGCAGGTACTTGAATTACTTTGCCACCAAATCAAGCCCAACTGGTGTGATCCTGGATCTCTGGGAAGCACAAAACTTCCCAGACGGAAACCTGAGCATGCTGGCAGCTGTCCTGGAAGAAATGGGAAGACATGAAACAGTAGTGTCCTTAGCAGCAGAAGGGCAGTATTGACCGGCCATACTGGAATTGAGGGACAAAATTACACACAGGGAGTCTGTGTCCAGGGGAACCACAGCTGAGGAGGAAATCCAGATGGGACTAAGGCACTTTTCAGGCAAGATGACAGCAGGAAAGGTGGGGGACAGACACAACCACCAAGGTACACGCCCACTTCATTCGGACAGCACCACCACGGGAGTTAAGAAAAATTGTGTACATTTGTACCTTGAATTTAGAAGTCAATCTAATTTTCTCTTCGTTGGGCTGTATGCTGTATGGTACAGGATCTTACAGTTTCCTAGGAAACGCTTTTTATTGCTATCCAGATGTATGGATAAACTTTCTTAACAAACCCAGTTTCTACAAACGTTGTTTACATCAAATTGGACAGGGATGCAGACACTGTCCATGGCTTGTTCTATTTTTGTTCCAATCATTTGAAGTTGAAGCTGTGGACGGTTTGTTGAGTCTATTTCAGATTAGTAATTTACAGAGAAATCACAGACTTTTGCTACAAATCGTGTACACCAAGTGTCTCAGATAACCCCCCCATCAGTGTTCTGTTTCTGAAACTTGTCAGACCAGTGTTGGCATTTGTATCAGGGAAGTGGAGAATCTAAAAGGAGAAATGACTAAGATTCCTTATGGCATAGGGTAACCCAATTGGCTTCCTTTGGGAACAGAGCTGTAGCATTGCAGGGAAGAGAGTGAGCATGTTCCTCCACGCAAACATCAGTACCACATGTGTTTGTAATATGCAATTTCAAGTGTTTTTTTTTAAAATATTATCATTATTATTGATGATTATTACAAATATTCTAGTAAAAAGTTTTTCTTTTGTTTTAGTTAGCAGTACTGTTAGTATTTGGTATTGACTAGACCTGTCTCCCTTTCTTGCTTAAAGAGGTGGGCGTGGTCACCAGTTTAGTTCAATAGGCTTTGCTTCCTTGACCTTTGATACAGAGACTGAAATGTTCGCTGGCTGTCTGCTTTTGCAGCGTGTTCAGGCAGTCTTTCCATTCTGAGTCTTATCGTGAGGAGGGTTCTCTATGTAAAGCTCATTTAATCTTGCGGCTGTCTATTATCTGAGAGACAGTGTGGTTTGTGGGCAATAGTTTCTGAACTAGGAATCAGGAAACCAATTATCATTCTGGAGTTGGTCACTGTCTGACTGTGTGACCTTGGGGAAAACATTAGAACTCACCGTAGCTCATTATTTAACTGTAAACCATGGGGTGAGATCTGATCATCTCAAGATTCCAGAATGCTAAACTCCCATTGTGATGTCATCAATCTTATTCATCAGTTTGAAGATTATTAGAAATTCTGGCTTGGACCATTCATTTCCCTCCAGCCTTTTGCTGGAATACATTGCATCTTCAGACAGTATTAACTTGAGAGGGGATTACTTCAACCTGCATATATTTGGTTCTTTGTATCATGGTTGCATGTTGCTGTTCACTGAGAGATGGCATCCTTTTATTATCATTGTCTTGTGCTCTGGAGGAAGGAGAGCTACACCCAACCTTCCAAATATTTGTGAATCTACTTCACTCATTTATTGACTTCTGGATCTCAAGGCCATTTCTACAAAGCACCCATGCAGCTGAAGGAATTGGTACAGTTTCTCTTCCATCATTGATCTTTAATAATATTCAGTTGTATAGAGTTTAATTAGCTCTTTTATCCTCAGACAGTTAGTTGTACAAACTATGAGTTTTCCTTGGAACCATCATGAACTTCATTTGGCAGATGGAGATTGAAAACTTAGCAGCCCCAGTCACAGTTAGCCAAACAGGGAGCACCCATGTCCTTAAATCAGAGCCTCCAAAATATGGTTATGGCTTGCTTTGGGGCTGGAAGTATCTAATATGCAAAATGGAATCCAGTTAGAACTCATTTTGCCCATTTCCTCTCCTATTTCTGTTACTTCTTGATATTCTCTGACTCTTCCGTCTTAGTTATTAAAAATCTGTGGATACGGTTGTGGAGGCTCTTTCATTCGTGCTTTTTATCCTCTCTTTTGGATATGCATTCTACATTCTCATTCTTTAACCATTAAAATATTTATATGTACAAATACTGGTCCAAGGGGAATACTGTGCTCCTAAGCAAGCTCACTGACTGATGTCTATAGCAATGAGCTGGTTCTAACTTTTAAGAATTTAGACAGATACGCTTAAAAAACAAGATGAAAGAGCTGAGCACCGCTGCCACTTGAAACAAATGTGAAGATTCCTCTTTAGTATTGGGATTTGGGAATCATGATAGAAATCAAAACCTACAGGTGTGTTCTGGATGTTTTGTATAACGGCAAAGCTTTAGTAAGAAATGGAGAGGAGCGAATGTGTTACTCTTCTGGTTAATCTATCCTAAAAACTGCTAAGTCACCAAGAGAAATATTAAATACGACCAGAGTGGCACTGTGGAAGCGTTTGAGGGTCCTCCTGTTTAAGCATCTGGAGATACTTGTATTTTTATTCTATCTCCCCCAACAGGAATAGGAAGAATGAGTGATCTCTTAATGAGGTACTCATTTGTTATAAAACTACTTTCTGTCATGTGAATGACAGTTTCCAAACTAGAAAATACCACATCAAATATGTACACTATTTTCCTTTGGAGGAAAGTAATGGTTGTCACATCACTGCTCTCCAGCACACAAGGTTCACCTGCCACAGTTCATCTCAGAAGGAACATGATCATCACCTCTATGGCATGCCCGGCTTCCACACAGCCTTGAAGAAAGCTGTGCTTGATGATTGTGGGTAGAAAAACTAATCCTTTGTGTATGGTGCCATCTAGTGGCCCACAGCATAGTTACTCAGTTTTACATACAGCATACTAAAAGTTAACAGAGAGTAAGTACCTCTTTGAGTTTGGCAAAAGATTCGTGACAAATAGACATAGGGAATTTTTCCTTTCAAGTGTGTAACTTCTTCATTCAATATCCATTCAGTTAAGTCACCCATTTCAAAATTTTATGAGTACAGAACATCATCTACTTGCTCATATACATCTTAAGTTAATTTCCTGTAATATATTCAAAATCTATATGAGTTTTTGAACATTGTTTTTTATTTAAGAATCCCATTGAGCTTTTCGTATTTAAAATCTTTTAATTCCAAAATACTAACTTTTAGAAGTATGAACTGTGTTCATTGAGGAGATGCCCCCACCCCACAGCTACACACATATACTCAAACACATGGCATCTCCTTGGGAGTTTTGTTGATTTATTATTTTGAGATATAGTCTCACTAGGCATCCCAGGATATCCTCAAATCCATGATACTATTTTCATAGGTAATCTTTTAAGCATCTACCATTGCACCCGCTTTAAAAATCTTAAAAAGAAGAATGATCATGCTGATCTCTTCTGAGATCAGGAATGTAACATGAGAGGCTTCATGTTCTCATACTTTCCTTCTCACAACATTAGCTCCAGTTGACTTGAGAGCTGCATACATGGTGATGATAAGCATGTGTCAAGGAACTCACAGCCACACATCTTCAAAGCAGACACATGATCTCTGCTATCCAAAGAATCCATCATCACCTGAGCAAATTAATCTCTTCAAGGAAAGAATACTTTGTGGGATGAGAGGTCCAGGACCAAACTGTATTATTAGCTATTTTCATATATGCTATAATTCTATAGTTTTTAATCATTCTACTATAAAAGAGTGGAGACTTTTTTTTAGGGAAAGTCACAATGACTACATTTAGGCCCCTCTAGATTTCTAGAGTCCAGATGCTAGACATTCAATGGTTTTAAAGACATTTTTCTAAAATAAGTTGAAAAAGGAACATTCGGAGGTGGGATCTAGACATGTCACTTCTGGAGAAAAGCAGGCAGGCTCTTGTCTTACATCTTGGCGTGTCTCTGTTGGACCTGGCAGCTGTGCTCGTGGGCCCCTCACACCTCCACAGTCACAGGACGAAGGGGACTTACAAGGACAATGTCCTGTCCCTGAATCCACACGTCCACACAGTCCATGCTCTGGGGCTAATCAATGTAGAAACCAAGAAGGATGTTGGAGAGTATGTGATGAAAATAGGAAAGGTTTACTTGTTCCAAGTCAAGATGAACACAAATTTGACCTGAGCAATCGCTCCAGACAAGCAATCCATTTAGAAGGCAATGTCGGTGTAAGTCCAAGGCCAGTGGAGGACTACAGAAACATGATGGGGGCGGAACTAGGTTTGAGACATCTTTTTTGAAAAGCTTGGCAAATCTTCTAGAACATCACTGTTCAAACCAGTCATTTGTAATGATGACAACAACCAATGAGCATCTTATTTTATAGATCCAAAAGGAAAACTATTTTTATTATTATCTCGTTAATAAAACTGGTTTTGCCTTCCGAGTGCCTCGTGGGACCAACTACGTTATTCCTTTGGTTTTGTATTGCTTTTGTATTTTTAAAGCATACTGAGCTGACATTGACTGAAACTCTTCTAACTTCCCTTCTGTGCAATGAAATGCTGTTTCTCTGCCCCCAAGAGATGCGTTTGTGTCACCTCTGCTTACACTGATCACTTGACAGTTCCCCAGCAATTATTTTTTTTTTATGAAATTGGGACTATGGGGAATATACACATCATAACCAATACTAATTGGTTAAGTTCATGTTCATATAGGCTAAATAAGCCACATGAAGTCATAACTGTTTCCAAAAAGCTGACAGCTAGGCTCACTGCTTTGTAAGAGTGGAGACAGCCTGCATGTGCCTGGGTGGAGTATCTCTTCAGATAATGCAGCTATGGATCCTTTGGTATTATTGGCCACTGCCCTTGTTTCTGAAAACTTACTGCCATAGTCTTCAGAACGTTCATTGGGCTTGACGGCTTTCTTTATTGAGCTGTGGTGGGATAGTAATGGGCTCCTTCAACCAATAGTATTTTCTGTCAGAGGCCTATTTAAGTGTGATTGGGGAAGTATCCTCAGGACAAACAAACACAGTCCATAAACATAAAAGCAGGCAAACCCAATGAGAGGCTACCTGCAATTCTTCAGTCTAGTCAAGTGTATATACTAAAGCGAACTGTCCCAAGACCATCCAGAATCCTAAACTGGAAGTACTTGCCATATATCAGTACAGTCATGGCCCAACCCACTAGTTGTTCAATGGAAAACCAGGGAGTGTATGAAATACAATCAACTGTCCACCAGTCATGCTGTTTGCTATGGTATACCAGCTTTTTTTTTTATATGATTTGAGAAGTTTTGCTATGGCAGAATCATAAATTGCCCGCAACAGTGCTGTTGGGCCATTTTACATTAGCCTAAACCATGTGTCATCTTTCTATATCAAAGGCCTAATGCCATGGAGCCTGATGACACCCAGCAGTGGTGACTGTGAACTGTGGGCTGGTTGTACTGATCAGCAGCCTAAGGGTGATGAGCTCTTGGCCTTTGATCTTCACTCAGCACTATGAAGCCGCAACATCAAAGCATCATGATGAGCTGTATGTTAAACCAGTTTTAAGGCAGCATACAAAACAAGAAATCCACAGCCAGTAGAAAGAAAACGCCTTTGCTGGTTTTGTGTTTCTGCAGTCATTATTAGGACCTGTAACTGTATACATATGGACTTTCATATTTTCCTTCAGATCTTGGAAAAGAAAGAGGAGCCAGTTGAACACAAGACTTGTATGTCTTCTTTCACTTTTTCCTAGATCTACTATGGGTAGCAATGCCCTCAACCTCCAGTCAATGTGTTTAGCCAAGTTGCAGGGAACATCATCACTGTGTGTGTGTGCATTTTGTGTGTGTTGGGTATCACAGTGTTGTATGTATTGAGCTTAATGTTGAGCTGGAGGGAACCAGTAACCTTCCTCTTTGTTCTAAAGATGAAAACCAATATTCATCAGAAAACAATCCCCAGCTCTCTGATAAAGACAGTAGGGTCACCTACTGTCTTCTTTCAACCAGCTCAACTCCATAAGTATCAGGTTAAAAGTTTATGCTTTGTCTGTTTTTTCCTTTTTTAGCAAAAACAACACAACCTTGGCTTCTCAGATATGGAACATTTCTTTGTTATAGAATTCTGTCTTGCTGTATCTTCTATGCAATTCCTTTTCTAATGACCCCTGGTGGCAAAGGAGTGCTCTCCAGCATTCCGCTCATCGCCTTGCTGTGCGGTGGAGGTGAGGGATACCAGCGTTGGGTGTGCCTCTTTTCTCTCCCCAGTTGCCTCACCCAATTTTCCTGCAGTCCCCTTGGTTTGTAAATTGCCTGCATTTATTCTGTCAGCCAACATGTACAAAATGTAAGAAAGAATTTTTAAACAGGTAATAAATTATATTTATAAGCAACAGGAATGCCTGCTCTGATTCTTCATAACATGAAATACTTGGTGTTGGGAATTATCAAGTATGAAAGACCTTGGGTCCTGCTTCAGTGAGAGTCATAACCTTCCTCCTTGACAAGGTGAAGTTCTAGAAGGATGCTTCTCTGGTACCATTACACACCGCAATCTCTGGGCCAATGCCTCCAACCTACCTTTAGAGACTCTGGTTTCCTTGGTCTGAGTGCAGCTTGAACAAAGAGTGTGAGAAAGCTTGCAGCTGATGCCAGCTTTAATACAGCTAGCATCTTCCAGCACCTGCATCAATATTTTCTGGAGCAGATTATAAACATGGTCATGATCTACACTCAAAGGTCCACTTAGGAGTGGAGTTTGTAAATAACCACAATAACAGGAAAGTAAAGGCAAACCACATGGCCCAGCACTGAGCTATTGTGAATCCCAGAATATAGCACAGGACCCCAGTTACTCCAATGAGAAAGTAGAAAGTTTGCAGGTTGGCGGAAAAAAAAAAAAAAAAAAAAAAAAAATTAAGCCTCTGAGGAGGAAGAGCAGAGTCGGCTCATTCCTCAGTGATAGACTGATTTGGAGAAGTACAATAGATTGACTGTCGTCTACCCCTTGCCCTTTTCTCCTACCCGGGTTAGTGGATAAAGGTAAGCCACTGTGCTAGAGATGAGAATGTTAACCTCCAGGAGCTACACAATGGTGACAAACTCTTGTATTTGTTCAAGGGATAAAGAAGTAATGAAAAACCTGTAAAGGGACCTTGCACAAACTGGATAGGATGTCTGTGGATAAAAGAATGAGAACTTGATAAAGAAGCAAATAAAAGCAGTTCGTCACAGGAAAATACAACACATGTCCCATAATATAGGTCAGCCTTTGCCCCTCCTTTGAGTTTCAGTAGTTGGAAGCTGCCCTGACAGTTTGGAGAATATGCAAATGTTTATCAAGGTCAAACCTGTGAGCTCTCATTGCCTGCCTATAAGGTCATTAGAGTCCTGAGACTGACCTGGCTCTGAATCCATCTTCAGTGTCAATGTAAGGTAGCAGGTAAAGAATCATTCTCAGCCCCTGAGATCCTCTGACTGGGTAAATATCAGAAGCTTGAGGAGGAATTGCAAAGCCCAGATAGTTCTCCAGAATGAGGGAACTTCTGTACTTTGCTGCTATTTCAGATGAGAAACCAGACCTGCCACATATAAAGTAACCCGCAGAGAAAAGAAGAAACCATTTTACTCAGCCCAGTTTTGATACTTGCCTTTGAGTCCTGTGAGGTGCTTGGCTTGAACCACTACATGTAGAAGTTGGAGGATCAGAAGGGTGGGTTCCAAAAGCAAGCCTCCTCGGGCTCTGAACTGCTGTTAGCTGTACATCCATCAAAACTGTCAGAAAAGAGGCTGGATTGATGACCAACTACAATGCCCCAATCATGATCAGCTATGTACTTTATATATTCACCCTATTTTTTAATAAGGGACCCCAGAGAGCATTTTTATTTCAAGGTACAGGTAAAAAATACCAGGTCTCACAGATTACAAATCTCTGAAGAATCATGAAAGTAAAATTGCGGGAATAAAGCTAAGTTAATTTGAACCCCAAATGTCGGGGTATACTCTCTTGGCATAAGTACAGTAGGCCCAAAATGCCAAACAAACCTGAGGCCTATCGATCCCTGGTTACCAAGTCACAAACCTTTCTTACTGTCCAACCCAAACAGTTCTATATCTCTTCCTCTCTCTTTTCAATCTCAACTAGACGCCCTCCGAAACAAGCTTCCCATCCTTTCTTCCTCTCACACTTAATGAAAGAGCAAAGTTGGCCTCTCCCTTTGCAGAGGACTTTCTGCTTCCATGATGGTGCTTTTGAGTCAAAAACAGGGGTCTCATTCCCACACAGAAAAAGCCAGTCTCACGCCATTCTGAAGCTTCCTTACTGTCATCCCAAAGTCTTGCCCTTCAGATCCTTACGTCCTTCAAGTCCATCTCTAGATCTAATCGGTTTCCCCATTGGCTTCCTACTCATTATCTCACAGCCCTAGGAGAATTTTATCTCTTCTTGAAGCTGCCACTATCCTGATGATTTCTAAGTCCACAAGAACAAATCGAAAAGTGTAGCCCCTGGGCTTTCACCACCACCAGTCACATCCACGAACACCTCTACCTGTCCTCATTCTTGCTCTTCAAAATCTGGATTTTAATCCTACCCCTTCTCAGGAACCACTAACACATCACACAGGCTCAGTCAGATGCAGTTTCTTTCTCTGTAGTCTTGTATGCTCTGCTCCGGAGGCCCAAGACACACAGCCATTTGGCTATATTTTTTCTTTTCCTTGAAACACTAATTAAACCCTAAGATGTTGTCTCTGTACCTATATCTGGAGTGAGATTTAAAAAAAATCACAAGCAATAAGAACTAGGTGCACAGTGAGCCTGTACTAAGAACTGATAGACATCTGGGTGCTTACTTAACATAGGCTGAGCACACTCTTTATTTCATCTTCAGAAACACTCTATGCAATAGATGTTGCTCTTGGTCTCAACTTCAAGGAGAAGAAATAGAGTTTAGAAGTTCAAACTGAACCCTATCATCACAGCACTGATGTAAGAGTGAGCTTTGGTCCTCATGCAGCTCTGGGATCTGCTGCCCCACATTTAGTATTAACAACCTCTACTGGTCCTCAGCATTACCCACAGCCAACTGCCACTTTCCCTGGGAAACTGTCATTTTCCATACTGAAATTTTAGACTTTCTTCATTTCTCTCGAACCTCCAACTCCTCACCAGATGGCTGTGTTTCCTAAAGAGAGAAAGTGGAAGGCCCCGGTCCCCTCGCCCTCCTGACACACAGTGCACATATTTACCTGCTCTGACTTCCTCACTGAAACCTTTCCACTTGCTGTCAGGAGGTCATTTCAAAGACAAAGAAAAGACACACCTATGAGATAACAATCACAGTTCTTATATGGGAAAAATGACACCATTTATTGAAGGAAATATGAAAACAGGTCATACACAATTTGTAACAAATACAATTGTTTGTCCCCTAACCCTGAAAAATTACAGTATATACAAATTCCATAAGGCACTGGTTCCCCCTAAAGAACACAAATGAGTCTTGTTTTGGAACAGACAGAATAAAATATCCCCCACATATGGCCACCTTTTCTCTTTAAAAATATGGCATTAGTTTGTGCAACAATTAGCTATAATTGTTAGATAGCATTAGTTTTGGTGCTGCCCCTTTCATTTCCACTGTTTACGGGACTGGGGGATGCAGAGGTGGTATAATCACCAAAACATATTCAAAGTTTTTTTAAAAAAATTATTTTTCTCACGACCTTTCCATCCACAATAAGAATGAGAACAGGTGAACAATATAAAACTCCTGACGACTATGCATGACCCTAGGAACATTAAAGTCAAGTCATGATTAAGTACTTGTTATCCTTAAGTCCACACCAATTGAAATGTGTCAGAGAATTCCCTGTAAATAACACCCCAGCATGTCATCTAAGAAGCTCTCTGTTTGAGGAATATAAAGAGTGGTCAGTAGTGACTTCAGAGAAAGCTGTCTAAGAGGTCAGACAGAGTGCTTACTGCTCTTCATTTGTGATTAACCATGTACATGCTTTCATAAATAAATACTATGCTTCATTTAGGACTTTATCATCCATAATATTTTACTTTCTAATCCACATACTAGAGTTGTACCAGACTCCAGAATGAATTATTTACATATAGATCTATATTTATATACTATATACACACATACATTAATCATAAACTTGAACATACAAAGTGTACCTAACAATAATTTAGGATTCCTTTGGGGGAGAGGAATTAGGAGAAAATCTTACTCTTTGAAAAAGTCTCAAAGGTAAGCAGCAGTCAATTATATTACTGATTTGCAAGAAGCCAAGGCAAAAGATAAAATAACCTTTACTTCTGATATACTAGAAGTTTAAAAGTTATCACAGACTATTGGGAAGTGAACAGGTAGGTAGTCCTTAACCACAACTGAGATTTAGGAAGCACATTTTTATAAGACAGACATTATATTCATAAATAAATTATAAATTCTTATTTCATTGAAAATTGGTAATAATTGAGTGGATCTTTTAAAGTATTCAATAATTTCAAGATTTTCCTCCTGAATAAATTAGGATAATAATTAGAAAGTAAGCAACAAAATGAATAATGTGGATGAAATCTGGCACCCTTAAGTTTCTCCCTATTCGTCCCTGGAACCCTAGAAATCTAGTCAACTTTACATCATCAACAGCCTCATCACAAACATTCTGATTTGAAGTTATCCACATTTTAAAATCTACTGATAGGAAAACATAGCTTGACCTAAGAGGTCCTCACAATCTCACTTATACCCAAGGAAAACCAAGAAAAAAAATCCAAACATACCCAGTTAACTAGCAAAATGCTTACTTAGGTGTTTGTGGATGAACCTGTCTAGGCACTTAGTTTTCTTTCTCCCAGTCTCAGATGACTGCCACACTAAATTTACAAATGTAAGGGAAAACTGTCTGTAGCAGATAAAGTTTAACAGAGAAAGACTCCTCAGAGACTCAGCTTATACTGGCCTCAGTAAAAACAAAATCTAATTGCTATTAAATTGACAACACGTTTTTACTTTTTCAACTTCGAGAACTAAGAAATTCTACTTTCTTAGTGAAAAACAAAACATGGTTCTGCATATCAGGCAGTGAATTAGAACAGAAGGGGAGACCCCTCTATGGTTTTCCCAAACTCCGAGTACTGCTCAAAGACACTGTAGCTCCAGGATCTTTTCCAGATGAACAGCCTACCAGCTGAACGTCTACTCCAGAAGAGAGTGAAACATTTCCTCATTTTTCATGCAGTTGACAATTTTTCCTAAAGTCTCCATCTTTCAAGAACCCGGTGGTGATATGTGTAAGAAAACACTGCCCCCTGGAGTATTCTGGAAGGAATGTCATTTTGTAAGGAAAAGAACTTCA